CATTACTAATTTGTAATTTATAACATCGTATTATAATATTAATTTGTAATTTCATATCGTATTATTGATTTATAACTTCATATTGTATTATTGATTAATAATTTATAGCTTCATATTATTAGTTTATAATTTATAATTTTGTATTAGTAGTTTGTAATTTATAGCTTCATGTAGCATCATTTCATGTAGCGTGCAATTCTAGCGAAGGGTTAAAATTGATCGTATTACTAGTCCCGAAGGAGTCGATGAAACATTGAGTTCCTAAGTAAAAGCGACTAAAAATTTGTTCAATTTTTGCGATTTCAGCGACTAGCGAAATAAATGAACAATGACCTTTCGCCTATTGCCGTGGGGAACGCGTTTGACTCACGATGCTCCGGTGTTGGCTAATGCAAAAAGGCAGGATGTGTCGCAAGGGTGTCGCAAGGGAGAAGCGAGAAAGAAAGGGTAACGAGTTCGGTGATTCTCACACGAGAAACTTGTAGTTGCAAATATCTTTATATACAAGCTATAGATTAGTCTTTATTCATTGGCAAAAAAAGTTCTCTATTTGGATTAAATACTTTGTTGCCTTTCAAAGCAGAAGTAAAAGGCAGCGACATACCAGTATCGTAATAATTAAGTCATAAAAATAATTGAATGGCCTGCGGTGAGTAAAAGTAGTTCTAGTTGTGCCTTATTACCGACGACTAGGAAACGTTTGCAAAATTATTTTAAAAATAAGGCAACTGACCGATATGTTTTTATGCGGAAGTTTTGATAGTGATTTAGATAGGCGAGGAGTATAATGAAGCATTTATTTGCCACGCGTTATATTGCCATGTGTCAAATTACTGCGAATTACCGCATAGCTCGCGCTAAATTAGTGCGCGCTGAATTCCTATGCGTTGCTTTGCCACGCGTCGACTTGTCACGCGTTATATTGCCACGTGTCGACTTACCACGCGTTATATTGCCATATATCAAATTACCATGCATAGAATTACTGCGCGTGGAATTTCAACGCGTTCAATTACCATCGCATGGAGTTGCACGCTTTGAATTACTACACGTTGTAATTCCTCGCGTTATATTGCCACGTGTAGATTTGTCACGCGTCAAATAACCACGCGTGGAATTGCAACGCGTTGAATTACTACGCATTGAATTCCACGCACTGAATTACTATGCGTCAAGTTTCCACGCGTTATATTGCCACGCGTCGACTTACCTCGCGTTATATTACCATTCGTCGATTTTCTACGCGTTAAATTACCACGCGTCGAATTGCAACGCGTGGAATTACTACGCATTTAATTGCACGCTCTGAATTACTATGCGTCAAGTTCCCACGCGTTATATCGCCACGCGTCGATTTACCTCGCGTTATATCGCCACGCGTCGATTTGCCACGCGTTAAATTACCACGCGTGGAATTGCGACGCGTGGAATTACTACGCATTGAATTGCACGCTCCGAATTACTATGTGTCGAGTTCCCTCGCGTTATATCGCCACGCGCCGATTTTCGACGCGTTAAATTACCACGCGCCGAATTGCAACGCGTCGAATTACCACGCATTGAATTACACATCCCGAATTACTACGTGCCCAGTTCCCTCGCGTTATATCGCCACGCATCGAATTTCCTGTACATCACCACGACTCGAATTTCTCCTCAAAACATCCCTACACATATCACTGCATTTCATAATCCTTCACAAATCTTCAACAATCCACTGCATATCTCTCGCTATATTACCAGTTTCGAATATTCCTCAGCCATTACATCGCCTTGTTATGTATAACTATATATATTCTGCGATATCACTATTGCATGTCCTAAAAGTAGTAAAATTGCGAGAGTATTATTTATCAATGATATGTCCGCAACGGTCGATTGTCCCGCGACATGTTATAAGGTAAGAACGATTTATCACAGAGATGGATGAATAACGTTTCTTCATCGCTGATCTCGTATATTCTTTCCGTAGAGTGACATCGCGTTGCATGAAACTTGGGTCGGTTTAGTCGCGCGAAAATGTAACTAAATACGCAAGAAATGCACACGGTCCGTTGACCAAGGCAATATATCTTTGTAAGAGAAACATTCGAAGAACATTTTCCTGGAAACTGTTCGCAAAAAGCGCTGCCGACAGCGTGAAAAATCTTTGATGTTGTTGAAATCCGAATAGAAGACAAAGTCTGAATTTTGTTGGAATTATTGAATTTAAATCTAGTGTTGTGTATTAAATGTACTGTGAAATGTTATGTATGACGTGTACTGTGAAATATAACAGTTTGGTAACGATTCCAGCATCTCGATTACAGGAAAATGGTCGAAAGTGTTGAAGAAATAATCTTCCGCCTAAAATGGCAATTCCTCAAGAATCACTCGAACGGGGTACTTGTTCTCCAAGAAGGAAGCGTAAAAAAAAATCACCAGAACTCTTTCGTGTTTGTTCTCGAGATGACGAGGCACTAGCAGTGTTCGTTTTTCTTTTCGAAACTTGCGAAGAACCTAGGAGAGAAAGGTGATTGATGATGTAGGTAGCGAGTAGTGGCGAGTAGCCGAGTTTCATAAGGAAAAGCAGCATCTGCATGATAAAAAGGAGCGAAAGAAGGACGGCGTTGTTCGGATACGATTAATTAATTCGATTCGCCACCTTGTACAACCATTTAACGATTTTCCTCGTTCGATTTCCATTCCAAATTAGACGAAACCGGAACACCGATGAAATCATCAAACGAGCGACCACGAAACGCGATGATCGGCCGTACGCGAATGGAAAATGCGCGTTGATTGCGTTAAAATTAATCTGTCCGAGCAACGAGGTATGACCGGTAATACGGATAATCCTGATAAAATCATTGTTAGCGAAGGAATCGTACGATTTCTCTCCGTTGATCAGCCTCGAAAGGCTTTATCGCGCGCGGAAGCGGCGTATGACCAATCCTGAAGACAGAACGACTTTCAGTTTACAATTAACTGGCAAGCTTGTCGTAAGGAAATCTCGTCCGCAAGAAAGTTATACACGTGGTTACAACATTTGACCAGAACAATTATTGTCCTCGTGATCGGTCCGTGTTGCGTAATCGCATGAGAGCCTTTTCGAATGCGGTGGTTAACGACCTGCGAAGTTTTTACGCAAAAAAGGAAACAATTTCGACGCCTGATAATTTCGCGGCTGAGAGTCGTTCTGCCGGAGTCAATTATTTTGACGTTAGAAAGCTGGCGAAGTTTGCGGCGGATGTACGTTTTGCACTTAATGGGGGACGGTGGGATTTTGAATATTTGGGTTTTGAAATTTTGGGATTTTAGGATTTTGGGAATTTTGAAAGGGAGGTTGGGATTTTGGAAATTTGGGAATTTTGAAATTGGGAGGTTTCGAAATTAGGAAACTTGTGAATTGGGGAATATTCGAATTGAGGAATATGGAATTGGGGAATGTGGGAATTGGGGAATGTGGGAATTGGGGAATGTGGGAATTGGGGAATGTGGGAATTGGGGAATGTGGGAATTGGGGAATGTGGGAATTGGGGAATGTGGGAATTGGGGAATGTGGGAATTGAATGC